GAGTTCACTGAATTAAAAAAAACACAAATAGCATAATCGACACAATTTAATTAAAGTTCACGAACACTGTTCACTGTAACAGGGCAAATCAGCTAATTAGTGTCACCCACCAGGACCAAATTTCAGAGTGAGCAGTGTAATCACTAACCCGTGTCAACTAATCCCATCTAATCCCTTGTCAAAACTAAAGGGTGGTGGATAAGTGAGAATGAACCAACGATTCACATATGTGAATAATTGTGCCCCTAAGCTTATAAGAGTACATTACTGATTTTCCATTCCAAATTTGACCAAAGTTCAACACTTTCAGGTTCAACACGGACAGCACCGTCAGCCATATCCACCAACAGTCCACGTGTACAAGACCCATAAAGGTCTTGACAATACAAAGGCCATGATCTACAAACACGATTATACCTCGGCACTAAACTCCCCATACCAATCGTACAATCATTCTTCATCTAAATAATGCATTAACTTGCCATTTCGTCCTCCACCAACACTATGTGGGTTCCTGGGGGTTGTGAATGGAATGGAATAGGGCTGTGTATTCTCAAACATCACGCACCACCTCTTTCTTCAACGTTGTTTACCGGAAAATAGACAAAACGATATTCAATAATATTATTCGGCGTGTGTCCGACACAACCTTGACCCATGTCTTGTTTGTATGTTCAAGTTTCGCAGGCAAGAATTAGTGTTCATTCGGCTACATCACCTACAAATATCAGTTTTTAGGTTTTATTATATACATACATAACTTCATATCGGTTGGTTGGTTTACTGTCTAACGCCGCACTCAGCAATTGTCCAGCTATATGGCGGTCTGTAAATAATCGAGTCTGGACCAGACAATCCAGTGATCAACAGCATGGGCATCGATCTACGAAGTTCATATTGACACACGGTCTCCTCTCCAATCGAACTTAACGTCTATGAGAATGAAGGCTTTTGTTACATTGTCATGTCTCATGCTTTCAGAGCCATCTTGAAGATCACGATACCACATTTTTTGTTTAACTCAAAGCCTACAAACTTCCAAACAAACTGTACAGATTCTTTAATGATACATTAATGATACATGATTCCATTTGCCTAGACACATGCTCATAATGTAAATCACTGGATTATTGACAGATCGCGGTCATATAACAGGAATGAATATTGTTGAGTGCGGCTTTAAGAAAACGGTGCAAAGGACTTACTCAATGTTTTGGACCATAGATTGTTAAATGGCGTTTGAGATAATTGTCAAATTGTGAGATGTTGTTCTCACCATAAATAACCACGGAGTTTTGAGATAGCTGAGTTCAACTGACAGTGTTACAGAACAGATCGAAGCCAACGGTATGTCACGAAGCCATTTGTATAAAGCTACTACCTTTGTAAACAAAACAAATATGACTTAAACGTATCGAGTAGTTCCGGTGGAGTATATTTTATCCAGAGTGTTTCATAGCATTTTATAGCGTTTCAGGTGACAAACACAACCATATTTTATATTGGAGAATAAATACCGGCCTCGGTTTAAAAATGAGTGAGTATGCTTTTAAGCCTCTATATTTACTACTCACACTTTGCTAAGGATCACAAAAATTCACAACTTTTAAGTAAACATAGCTAATGATTTGAAATTGTATCCATTTAAAACTGGATAAATAGTATTATATGGTAACCCTTCTTTAGGCAAACAGCCACTTTAATCTAACCTTAAGCACTTGATACATGAATAACCATCAAAATGGTTTTCATGGCACCAATCAACCATTTTGCAAATCATGGACCGAGTACACCTGTGAATAGCAGGTATGGGATCCACAAGATGCAGTGACATATTGAAATCTAAGATCCATGCTTACAATAAGCTTAGATATTTAAACCAAATTAGACCCCACATCATAGTTTTCTGTTGAATCTATGATTTGATCCTTAGCAAAGTGTGAATAGTATAAATAAATCAAACAGCATCATGACGGGAGGGGGGTGGGCATCTATGGCAGTCAACAGTTAGGAAAAAGTGCTACTTTTGTTAAAAGAATTCAGTTCTAGCATTGGTACTACTACTGACCACCTGTGGGACCGTGGGACCAAACGGAGGCTTGATAAAAACTTCTGTATATGAACTACTAGTTCATCCCTGGGAACTCAACCAGGAGTACAGAAGATATTCTGACACTACCCGCAAAGCCTTAGTGACTGTTTCATGATAAATATCAGGAGACCGATTAGTTAAGGGGTTACGTGTGATCCCCCGGGTGCCGATCCACTGCAGGTGACTAGCCACGCCGAGGAGCACAGATTTGTGAGGATATTGTCTCGTGTGTCTCGAGTGGGGTCTCATTTGTCACCTGTCAGAGCAGTGTGGTTTCAGTTTGATGTTGTATTTGCTTGGCTTTTTGTTACTTCCTTTGTCAGTCGGAGAATGTGACGTAAGCGGAGACCGGGTCACAGTACGTGACATTCCTTATACATACATATGAAAACAGGGATTTGATGAGTGAGTTTAGTTTTACGCCGTTTTTAGCAATATTCCAGCAATATCACGGCGGGGGGAACACCAGAAATGGGCTTCTAACATTGCACCCATGTGGGGAATCGAACCCGGGTCTTCGACAGCGAATGCTTAATACTAGACTACCCCACCGCCCCTGAAGCAAGAGGGTGGAACTCGGATATGAGAATGAAGGTCCTTTCCTCGCAAAGTACTTGACTTTCCTTTGCATGTATTTATGACGGATACGCTCACCTTTTTGCGAACACCTGGTGTCATCTCTCACTGACAGTGATACATTAATACATACTTATCGAAATAAAAATCGTACAATAGACTGCTTGTGGCAGAATTTTTTTATGATTGTGACGGATTCCATTCATTCTCACCCTAAAGTTTAAACTTAAATGCCAGCATTTCATGGGCCATTTAACGTGTCACATCTGCACATGTCAAACATAACTACCATATCAACTTATAGAAAGCTTTGGTGCAAAACGGTGGTCGTACCTAAAGTATATACATGACAAACGTGGTCACGTTGGAGTCGACACTCATTTGTAACTAGCAATATCGGCTGAATGAAATATTGTGAATCTTCTTTTTCCTTTGCCTAAATATAGATCATCTTTATGTCTTGGTATGAAAGGTCGCTCTCGGTTGACAGTCCTGCTTTGTTGAAGGTGAGGCGTCACGTAGACTTTCTGTACGATCAAGGAGTACACTGTTTGTCACAAACAACAACTTTTGTGTGCACTCAATGACAAATTTTGTATACATATGATGGCACACCGTGTCATGAATTTACTAGAGGTGGAATTATGCAGGCTTAAGAGGCCTTAGTGACAGTGCGGTGGCTTCAACAACATGTGTTGAGGATATAGTTCGCTCTAGTTGGGATACATAACATTTTACCAAAATGTGGTCTGGCAGAAGAAAAATTGTGAGGTAGGTGAAATGGTAGCATTAAACACCTTTAAGAACTATCAAAACAATAATTCATGATTGCAGAGATACTGTTTAAATGCCTGCACTGTCTGCTCCTGTGTAATCGGAGCCATGCATTCTGACTTTTCTTCAATTACGTTTATACTGACTCATCAATAGTAAACATTTTCGTCAAAAATAATTATGAATCATGGTATACTTAATTTGGCTGATATGCATATTCCGAACGTTATCGGTTATGACGGATAAATATGTGGTATTATGCCGCGATCAAGCTAAACTATAGGACAGAGTAGAAGAAATAATTTTGAATGAAGGCTTGAAGCACTTGTTATATGAAGCAACAAAATAAGGTTTAAGGTTACAGCGAATTCGAATCACAAAATGAAATATTTCTAAACATTTATCCAAAGCATTTAACGCTAATAAATATTCCATTTTGCTTAATCTATAACTGCTTAATGTAGGCATGGATAAATCGCTGTTGCACATATCATTTAACTGACTGAGTTTAGTTTTACGCCGCTTTTAGCAATATTCTAGCAATATCACGGCGGGGGACACCAGAAATGGACATATCACTTAAACGAAGAAGAGCTGTTATCTGCTCTGAAAAATGGGCGATTTCGCAAGTGTTGTTTTACGCTGCAGTCAACAATATTCAGATCATATCACGGAGCTCTGTAAACAGCCACAACTTTAATTAATCGAATCTGTCTCAGTCCAGTGACTGACAGCATGAGCAACAAAGACACACCGCCTCACCCCAAAGTGGGCCAGTGTATTGTATTGTGTGGTTTTACGCCGCTTTTAGCGATATTACAGCAATATCACGGCTGTGGACACCACAAATGGGCTTCGCACATCGAACCCGGGTATTCAGCGAGACTAGCGAACGCTTTAACCAATAGGCTAACCCCCCAATGTCCATTGTACACATGGGGAATGCACCCGGAATCTTGATGAGCGAGCGCTTCAACGCCCATTGTACCCTACCGCCCCGGAAGACAAACTGATCCCGACAACCGAATCAATCACCCCTTGCTTTAAAAGTTTTTACTCCTTCCCACGTCACAACATCCCTTAAGATAATTTTCGTTACAAATGAAATTTGACGACACCCTAGAGAAGATCTCAGAAATGGTTATTACGCAGTAGTGAGAAGGATACATTACCATAATGTTGTTAAACGTCTCACGAAACGTTCAATCATTCCACAACAGAATGACAGGAAACAGTAAAGTATGCCGAATTCGTGGACCGTATGTTCCTTTTGAATTAGAGTTGATGTGAAGGGAAAAGGGGTTTAACGTGGTATTGAAAAATACTGCACATGCATGTGCATGAGCGTTCTGTAACACTATCATCTGTATTACTCAAACAAAAAACTTGGTAAAAGTATGGGATTTACCATGTTCGTAGCGCTGATATTGCTGAATGGGGGAGCCCCCAAAAGAGTAGCCACAATCGGAACAGAAAACTAACCTAAACCGACAAGTTGGCATCACCATAACTGCCAAAATTTCCATATAGCTATTATTTTATCGTTATACCATTACAGGCGGAAGGCCCTGAAAGACGGTGCCAACCTGACGGCCATTTCGGAGGAGCCTGGTAAGGGCCAGGAATCAGACCGGAACATGGACAGCCCGACCTCTGAGGCTTCCTTGGCTGAGACGGTTGCCCGGATGATGGATCGGGAGAAGACGTTCTTGACGGAAATTGGCGAGGACAAACCGGCTAGCAGACGAGGCAGTGACTTTGATGGATCGGGAAGTAGCGATGACGACGACTTTGCTGATGACGTCAGTGACTTCGACGAAAACCACAACAGTGACTTTCGGCGGCGTGGACGAAGGAAATCAACACCCTTTGAGTTTGATATCGACGCTGATTTCAATTTCGATCAAGACGACGAAGGTTTGATATAATATTTTCTGGCTAGTCTTCAGATAAAATCCATTTAATGTCAATATTTATACTCGGACAACCACAGCAGTCGTGCATGTTTTGTCAGGGTCGGGCTACGATAACCTTCAGGGGTGCCTAAGGCAAATTGCTTTAAGTCCTGGTTTCACTGGGTATTTTTGTTTAGTTTGTTGTTTAGCAATACTCCTTATATATGGCGGAGGTATGTAAATCATCGAGTCTGGGCCAGACAATCCAGTGACCAACAACATGATCGATCTACGCAATTGAGATACGATGACATATGTCAACCAACTTAGGGAGACTGACCACCTAATCCCGTTAGTCGCCTCTTACGACAAAGATGGGTTGCCTATTCTAACCCAATCTTCAAGGGTGGCCTTAAATATTCGTTGTGCACACCTACCTATACAAGTTTTTTTTTATTCCTTTATCCATTGGGTATTTGTCACTAAAGGTATAGTTTAGAGACAACACACGTTACATCGTTACAAGTTTTCAGAACAAAAACTGGAGGCACACGCAATCTGAAGTTTAACGACGGACGAGAAATGCTGAACTTGCATCGGTTTCACTCATATGAAATTTGGTCATAGAACATTTAGGCAAGAAGCATATATCCCCGTGCACTCCCCATATTGTTGCACTCCCCATAAGTTTTTTTTGTGCAAATTGATTCCAATTTGTGCTTGTACGGACAAATTAAAAATGTCTGATGGAGTCTTTCCGATAACACCTGGTGTCATCACTTTTCACAGATCGACGATACGGAGCAAGTTCTAACAACTCTATTGCAATGAAAACTGTTGTTCAACCATCAATTCATCTTATCCTTCTTTGGTACTCCGGCTCCTAATGAGTGTCAAAGGAATAAATAGGCCGAAGCCATGAATTATAGTAACTGGCCAAAACAAAAGCTTACAGTAATATATGGTGCCAAAATGAAGAATCGGTATATTCTTCAGCTGGTGCTCGAGTCATCGTACACGGTTTAATCGGATTATATTCTTATTCCCCTTAAATCCTACAAATATCCGGGCATAATTTAAAGGCCTCACCGCCTTGCGATATTTCAGAGGATATTCGACGTCGCTCGAAGAAACGGAAGATTACGACCGAGATCGTGTACTCCAAGGCGTGTGAGAATTGTCGCCTGCCGCCCTGTGGGGCCTTCAGAGACCAGGCGACTAAGGTCTCCGTCTGTCTCCGGGGTATGCATCTTGGGCCCAAGGAGATCAAGCCCATAGCTATAGCGTTAGTGGTAAGTACATATCGATTCCATTTAATTGCCTATGGAAACTGGAAGGGAGATCATACAAACGTGCATACTCCAACATAGGTTTCTTCTCGTCAAACATGTATTTTCGGGACGAACAGAATTTGTTTACCCTAACGTTGACCAAATATTTGTCATATAACCATCCTCGATCCCACCACATCTCCCCTTCCCCCAACATCAATTGTTCGAGATCTTAGTGCAATATCACGTGAGTGAGTTTAGTTTTACGCCGCACTCAGCAATATCCCAGCTATATGGCGGCGGTCTGTAAATAATGGACAATCCAGTGATCAACAGCATGAGCATCGATCTGCGCAATTGAGAACCGATGACACGTGTCAACCATGTCAGCGAGCCTGACCACCCGATCCCGTTAGTCGCCTCTTACGACTGACTGACTGACTGACTGAGTTTAGTTTTACGCCGCTTTTAGCAATATTCCAGCAATATCACGGCGGGGGACACCAGAAATTGGCTTAACACATTGTGCCCATGTGGGGCCTCTTACGACACGCATGGGTTACTGAAGATCAATATTCTAACCCGGATCTTCACGGGTTGTGCAATATCACGACTACAGAAATAGGCTTCACACACTGTACCCATGTGGGAAATCAAACCCTTGACGTGGTGACGTGTGCATAGAGCTCAGGTCACAAATCAGTTAAGCAACGTTAGGCGCGGAGAGTCCTTGGATGGGTGAACGTGTTTGCAGCTTGACTCCTGAGAGTTTCTAGGTCGGCCCCACAACGAGGCACATGTCATACTATTGGTCTCGCCTTAGTCAAGTGATTTTGTTCAAAATTGCCTCTGTTCACCCAGCAGAAAATGGGTACCCGGTGGCATAAATAATGTGACTAAAACCTTCCACAAGAAGTTGATCCTTGCACCCCCAACATCCCTTTCTTGCTCCCTTCTGCTCTCTGTAAGTTATACTATTAGCAGAGCAGTATGATGACACGAGGTTTGTCAAACACCCTGTGAATAATTTGTATTGTGTATTCAAACATGTGATAGGGCGGAAGTCAAGTCTCCTTTTTTGGGAAGGAGTAATGTGCGACCTTTGCAGAACCATGGAGGAACATCACCTGTGTCCACGAGAGAATTGAAACAGTGAAGTAATGGTGTTTGAACACACGGAAATAGTTTCCAGTACCAGTTTCGAATGCCATCAGGCCCTGGAGCTGTATTAGATTTGGACTTTTTGATAACACTTTTCAGGCAATCTGGTGAGATGTAACAGACACACTACCTAGTTACTTTCTCAAACATTGCATGGTCATACGCACTGACCCATGGTGCCTCAAGCTTACAGTCGCCGGGTATAGACCACAACTGTTTCCAGAACCTCTCATTGGCATCCATGGGAGGCCGCTTATCATGTTCACAATCACCGTTTGTTTTAAGTTGCCTGTAAAAGTGTTTTTCGTTATTTCTAAAATGTTTATTTTGTTTGATGAATTTATATTTCTTTTCCCATTTTTTCTTTCTTTCAGTCCAAACCTTTATTTTTGCCTTAAGGGAATCGGCAATTTGGAGAAGTCTTATACTGTAATTTTAATTTTCTCCAAATTGACTTTTGACGTTTTGACATTGGACTCCCTGATGATCTTACTTCAGGCACAGCTCTATCCAGGAAATGTATTTTCTAGTTTCTTTTAATTTCACTTGAAACCGATTTTTCTTTGGTGTATTGTTCTTAGTATTGGATGTGTGAAGTTCCTCCAAGGTTCGAGCGGCAGCAAAAGACACAGCAATATATGTCATGTAACGAACAGTCCGCAGAACGTTTCGGCAGAACAGGTGAACGCTTTACCACAAGGCTAAACCACTGCCCAGGTCCTAAATAAAACATATCCGTTGTACAAACCAACTTAAATCTATAAACATGTGCAGCATTTCAGAGCACTGCACACAGTCGAGGTAAGACTCATATCGAACGTGGGGTTTAATTAGGGTTCAAATATAATTTTCCTTGAACCTCGACAAAGTCTGTCCAACCGACCCTCACCTTCACAGTGCAAAAGCATAAAAACAAGACTGTCACTAGAACAACGTTTCCAAAAGATGTTTTGCAGTTTGTGAGTGAGTATAGTTTTACGCCGCTTTTCGCAACATTGCAGCAATATCACGGCGGAGAACACCAGAAATGGGCTTCACACATTGTATCCATGTGTGGAATCGAACCCGGGTCTTTGGCGGTACGCGCCAACGCCCTAGCTTTTTAGTAACTACGTATATTTTCACACATACATGCACAACCACCCGCATACACACATGTATGTTAGAAAATTACAATTAACCTTGAAGATAAAAACTATTTCTTTTAGAAACATTAAATCATCCATGCTTTCTACTTGCCAGAAAGACCGAACTATCGTGGAGCTTGACCTGTCGGACAACAACATGGGCCCTATGGGGGTGATGTATATAGCGGAGATGATGCAGGCTAACAGATACCTTCTTGAACTGGTCAGTAGCATTGAGTGAATGAGTTTAGTTTTACGTCACTTTTATCAATATTCCAGCAATATCACGACGGGGGACACCAGAACTGGGCTTCATACATGTGTACCCATGTGGGGAATCGAACTCGGGTCTTCGTCGAGACGAGCGGACGTTTTAACCACTAGACTACCCCGCCGCCCACCCTGTTAATAGATATATCGGACGTTAATTTACGTGTTTCTATGATTGGTATATAATGGTATTTGTTTATGTGGACGTTTTCAGTGGGAACTGATGGTCCAGATTAATGGGGTTCCGCTGGATTTTGGTCCAAAAGCATACAGGCCATGTCATCTTAAATAATATTAATTTTCAGTTATCAATTCATATTTTGACAATTATATAGGGGTAAGAAGAGGCATAATCACTCCACTTCCCCTTGAATAATACTAAGTCCTCGAATCAGCATAACGGGATCGGACCACTCAGACGCTCTGTGCAAAAGACAGCCGAGCGCAGTGTTTGGATTGAGTGGGTTATATCGGTATTCCCCTTAATCACAGCGTTTGATGTGTAAGGAAAGCCCCTTGTGCTTCAGGTCGTTGACATTGAGCAATTCGGTGAAACCTACGAGTGAGAGTGATTGAGTGAGTATGGTTTTACGTCGCTTTTAGCAATATTCCAGCAACATCAAGGTGTCGGACACCAGAAATTGGCTTCACACATTGTAATGCACCCATGTGGGGAATCAAACCCGGGCCTTCTGCGTGACGAGCTAACGCTTTAACCACTAGCCCCTCAGGGACTGTGAGACAGACTAGGGTGTTTGGCACAGTGCATCCGCTTCCAAGCATGTCATACCTCTCCACGTATAGTTGTCTCGAAGTAAAAGTTTGGCACCTTGTTGTATTCTTAATTTATTTTGCGGTTGTATCGAATGAGTGAGTTTAGTTTTATGCCGCTTTAGCAATATTCCATCAATATCACGATGGGGACACCAGAAATGGGCTTCACACATTGTGTCCATATTGGGAGTGAGTGAGTGAGTTTAGTTTTACGCCGCACTCAGTAATATTCCAGCTATATAGCGGCGGTCTGTTAATAATCGAGTCTGAACCAGACAATCCAGTGGTCAACAGTATGATCATCGATCTGCGCAATTGGGAACCGATGACATGTGTCAACCACCCGATCCTGTTAGTCCATATTTGGAATAGAACCGGGTCGTCGAGCGAACGCTTTAACCATTAGGCTACCCCACTGCCCCGCGGCTGTGTCGAACCTCGCTTTACTCGAAGTATTTACGCACGTCCAGGTCAACATCGACACAACAGTGTTTAACCCTATATAATACTTCACTACACGTTAATATTTCACGCACGTTACTTCAACTAAAAATTGCCATCAGATTTCCAAAGTTGTAGCAAACTGAAATTCTATAATTCTGATTATAAATCAGTCAGTTGGCATTCATTGCTCTCCACATTCTACCATCAATGTCATATATAATGTTTAGTAGCTGTCTCTCGCTTAGAAAGGCGAACAACGAGATTCGTTTTTGTACTTTGCAGATATTGATTTTTCGAGGTTTATGACAATACCCCTTTTGTTTGTTTAATGAACGGAACCGTTAAGACTGGGTGGATATTGCGTTTTAAGCCTATTTTCTGCTTTAATTTCTCATTTTGTTTTCTTCCCTTTCCTGACGGTTGGATTTCATCGATTCCAGCTGAAATACAGTCAATATCAAATGTGATATTTTTCATCTAATCTTGAAATTTGAGTCTAGGTCTCCATTTCCCAGACATTTCATCTTCATAAACTAAACATGTTTTATGAAATATCGATTTTTATGGGGAATATGTTTAATCTGGGTTGTTTATATGTTTAACTTTCCTTTTTTAAGTCAAGTCACTTTAAAAGTTACTGTATGCAAATAAATTGACAAGGTTGATAGCACCTGTGGTGAAGGCGCTGAGAAGGCCTTTACGGTTGTGTGATGAATTGTGAGGGAGTGAGTTAGTTTAGTTTTACGCCGCACTCAGCAATATCCCAGCTATATGGCGGCGGTCTGTAAATAATCGAGTCTGGACCAGACAATCCAGTGATCAACAGCATGAGCATCGATATGCGCAATTGGGAACCGATGACATGTGTCAACCAAGTCAGCGAAACTGACCACCCGATCCTGTTAGTCGCCTCTTACGACAAGCATAGTCGCCTTTTATGGCAAGCACATGGGTTGCTGAAGACCTATTCTACCCCGGATCTTCACGGGTCGTGATGAATTGTATTCATGGATGTGTCATGAGACAAAATATTGTCAGTGCTATTGTCTCCCCTTTGCCCAAGGCAGACACAAGGCCTCGTACACTAGGCATCGTTTATATTCACGTCTATTATAAACAAATATACTGAGAGAAACAAATAAAGGAACACAGGAACATTTCCAGCGTTCCTTCAATATTTTCCAGTTTTCATCACCAGCTTTGAATAGCGCTGTGGGAGGAAATCTGAGAATAAATAAAGGAACACTGCCATGAAGTGGTGTTCCCTTCTTTGTTTCACTCAGTATATATAATATTGGTGGGTGAGAGAATGAGGTTTTTATCTCGCGTTCAGTAATACTCAGCTATACTCGACGCATCCCCACTACCAACACATAGGGAAGGGATCGACGCCGGTTCTGGCTTGAGGAGCCAACACACAATAACTTGGCAGCCACGCAACCCCACAAAAACAACAAAACACATCCCCAACCACCCCTTCCATTAAAATAAAAAAAGTCCCCAAAAACAGAAACAAACGAAGACTTTAAAGTTGAGTGTCAGAAAATGATATGTGTCAAAATACACTATAAGCATTTAGAGTAATGTGGTTACCTATAATTATATATTTTACACTTCATATTTTTAAGCTACCTCGACCCAAATACTAATAGATGTCAATCACTAGTAAGATGACCCCGACCCCCTAGCTAGCTACCGTCTTGAATCAGCTGTCATTGTTACAGGTTTTGCTGGTTTCGTGTTCGTACACCCGATTTTCGATTTACCTCTAACAAATGTTGAGCGTTATCTATTGAGCTTTTATTCACAGAATCTCTCGCAGACTAATCCCCGTCGAAGCGGCCTGAACGCGCTGGCAGAGACACTGAGATTAAACAACTCTATACGGTTACTCAAACTAGAAGGTAAAGTGACACATGCATGAGTTTAACATAGGAAATAAATTACCGCTTTTAACAATATTCCATCAATATTATGGCGGTACACACAACAAATGGGGTTCATACATTGTACCCATGTGGGGAATCGAACCCAGGTCTTGGGCGTGACGAGCAAAGGCCTTAACCACTAGGCTACCCCGCCGCCCGTTGAATGGAGTGAGTGAGTATGGTTTTACGTCGCTTTTAGCAAATTTTCAGCAATATCACGGCGGGGGATACCAGAAATGGGCTTCACACATTGTACCCATGTAGGGAATCGAACCGGGTCTTCGGCGTGAGGAGCGAACGTTTTTACCACTAGGCTACCTCACCATCCCCGTTGGATGGAAGAAAGTGCCGCTTGTTATTTCTGGTTTGGAGCTGACCTTGGATAAAACAATATAAATCATGTGGATCCTGTCGACCTTAAAGGACATAACTCTGCATGTTTAACTTTATCGCCTTACACAAGTTCATCTGTCGTATATAGACTAACGCGTAGTCTCTGAATGTATAAAATTTAGATTGTAAGAAATAATCCCATTTAAATTGAAAAGGGGTCCCAGTGAGATGGGCGATTCCTGAACCTGAGGAAATCTAGACTTGTTTCATTTGAGGCTTTAGCATTGCAGGGAGGGCTTGGAAGTAGGTAAAATAATATGGTTCAGGGACTGTGAGACAGACAATGGTATAGGTTGCTAGAGCTGAGAAGGGGATAGGTATAGGTAGACTAATGCTTAGTCTCTGAAGATATATTTTAGATTCTAACAAATAACCCCATTTAAGTTGAAAAGGAGCCCAAGAGAGACCAGAGATTGAGAACCTGAACCTAGGGAAATCTAGACTTGCTTCAATAAGGGCTTCAGCATTGCAGGGAGAGATAGGCAGTAGGGAAAATGGTTCAAGGACTGTGAGACAGGCTTGGGTATTTGGTACAGTGCATCCGCTTCCCAGCATGTAACCACACACCATACACACAGGCTTACAATTCACATCAGCCTCTGTCATTCAGAGCAGTACATAGTTACGCTTAATCATATCAGATGTATATAATATGCCCTGCATAATCGAAGATGCTCTTCTGTTTCATGTTTGCGATATTGTACACTTAAGTGATGGTTTAAGAAAATATTATTTATTATAGAATGTAACGATAGTGCCACACTTGTCAAGTGCAGTATCTGAAGGAACCCGGAGCTCTCACGCAATAATCTGATCATATCAGGCAGATGTGACAAGAACATAATTATGAACCAGTGATGCACTCACGATATTGTCACACATGGACATTGTTAATTAAAGTTACAAGAACATATTGACAAAATATACAATTGGAGATATTAATAATGCCTTTGTTTTTCCACAGAAAACGACATCGACCATACAGATGCATCTCACATCGCCAGCATTATCAAGGTAGGCGCTTACAAGTCTAAGGGAGGTAACTCTCAAATGACGGGCACATATCTCTCGTGTTATTTTCGGCGAGGCAGTCCATTTCACATCTGCAGTTACGTTATATTCTTGAAATTAGCTATAAGCTGAGTAAATAGTGCTTATTGCCTCATCAGCAAGTTTGAGTTTGAGGCTTTACAACTGCGTTCTGGTCATCCTAATTTTCGAAGTGAAGTGGGATGAAAAGGGGTTTACTGTCTCGCTCAAGACTAGAGCATACAATATTGTAAATATTTAAGGGGATTGAACCACCGACCCCAGATTTTGTCTATCCACTAGACCACGAAAGCGGTCTCTAATTTCACTGTATATGGTTTGCGATTAAAAGAATCACTGACGTAACGTTTGTATTGAGAGGGTTTTATTCAAATCACTTAGTTTACTAGTTTGAAAAGCCTAAGAGTCAACAGACCAAATATCAGTGAGTATTGTTTTACGCCACGTTAAGCTATTTCCCAGCAATATGACGACGGGGACACCAGTTATTGGCTTGTCACATTGAAACCACGCGAGGAGTCGAACCCACTTCTGTGGCATGAGCAGTAGGCTACCCTAACGTCCCCGGAAAAAAAAACACATGCGTTTTCTCAGCCACTTAATGCATATCGGTTGCATGAAACTAAAATTAGGTGATACAATCAAAATCTTAATTCGCTTTCTGCATAGACATACTTTGAATTAGTTTTCATTTTGTAATTCTTGTGTCATTTTGTGTCCGTCTATCTTAAAACCAAACACATTCTAGAGTGAGTGAGTGAGTTTAGTTTTACGCCGCACTCAGCAATATTCCAGCTATATGGCGGCGGTCTGTAAATAAGCGAGTCTGGACCAGACAATCCAGTGATCAACAGCATGAGCATCGATCTGCGCAATTGGGAACCGATGACATGTGTCAACCAAGCCAGCGAGCCTGACCACCCGATCCCGTTAGTCGCCTTTTACGACAAGCATAGTCGCCTTTTATGACAAGAATGGGTTGCTGAAGACCTATTCTACCCCGGATCTTCACGGGTCACACATTCTAGACAAAGTTTGGCTTAAAAAACAGATTTCGAGAACACACTTTCTTAAAAAAAGACCAAATGGATCCCGCTCTCATCGGCAAAATTCCCTTCTAGCATATTCAACCCTCTCCCCAACAGGCGGCTACCTGGTAGGTAATGTCGTTGACTTACTCCTCATATAAACGGGAGAGCTATTATCCTCTTTCCGTCTGACATTTAACCCAAATGGGTAATTTTCTTTTTTCCACTTAAGTTTAATAACAAGACCTTTACGTAAATATATACCAGACCACATTCGTCTTAGATAAAGCTAACGTACCGCTGTGCTAGACATTTCTGCATAATCCACAACTCAACCCCAGCAGGTGCCCGCTGAGTCTCACTAGGTGCCTGTGTTCTATTCCAGTCGTGCCCTAAGCTTCAGGAATTATACCTGGGACACAACAGACTTGGGGCAGCGGGAGGGAAAGTCATCGCAGAAGCTCTGAGTAAGTTCCTGACCTTTCATGCTCACTAATTATTACAATATTTAAAAAGAAGGACTTTGCACTGATCAAAGCAGTAGTCAAGCAATTTTACTGTTTGTTACTCAGCAATATTCCAGCATTATTGGCGGCTTTCTGTAAATAATGGTATCTGGACCAGACCATCCAGTGATCAACAACATATCATCGATCTTCGTAATTGGGATACGATGATAAGTCAGCAAGCTTGATCACCCGATCCGGATAGTCGCCTCCTACGACAAGCATGGGTTGCCAAAGACCAATTCTAACTCGGATCTTCACGGGTTGAGTTTTGTTTTCTGTAGTAATCATCACTATTTCATTTGTTTCGAGGTTTCCATGCCTCTCTTTGTTTTCCTCTCAATACGGCACACGTCGGGATAGTAGGATAAACCTGATCAATAAGTACTTATGCTTGTCATTTCCAGGCTATAACATAGATCAAATGGTCAGTGTAATAGGACATAATTCACCCATTTACAATTTTCACAAGGGCATTATTTCCACTGGCAGTTTCTGGAATAATTCCCTTGTGTGAATATTCTTTTCTCCGGAAACTACCCAGAAACGTATCGTTTTAATTAATAAAATAGTGGTAGAGTCATAGGCGAAAATACTGTGCACACCTGCCACTATTTTAGACGACTTTGGCGGCCATTTTGTTTTTCAATTTTGAGGTCAAAAACACTTTTTTTCACCTTGGTATCCCATTTTTTCGTTATCAGCAACTTTTAAATAGATAAAATAGCCTAGATACCAAATCCTACTAAAAAATGCCTCAACATATTTTATTTGAGCCTTTTTCCAGAATCGGGCCTAGTCTATAATCAGGTCCGTTGACGCGGTTGACATCAGGTTATTGTATCGCAATAATTTACATCGATGCCCATTTCAACCACGGCATTGGTCCAGATTTGAGCCCTTACAGACGCCCTTACACTGCTGGAATACTGCTTAGGGCGGTGCTAACAAGAAAATATACTCGAAATATGATTCGGAATATCTACAGATCTAACTTTATAGCCTATTTCCGGGGTACTTGTTTTAACTTAAGGGGTAATGTCAAAAACCCGAATCACTAATGTCGCCTGGAGACTAATGACAACGCTCACATAAATGAGTGCAATAGAGATTTGACATTTAATAACGCACATCGGGATTTCACATAATAGATAAATTTAACAGGCGCTTCGAGCAGTAACTGATTTGCACGGAAACTGTTTGTTTTGTTGTCTTTTTTGAGACGGTCAATAAGATATTTCTGCTGAGAAATATCCAAGACTACAAAATAAATATTAAGTGGGATCACGCCCGATGGCTAGTTCCATTATTCGTAATTATTTCATAACTTCACTTCACTAACTATGATTTAGGCCTTTTTAAAAGGATTTGATTGGTGTTATCGAAGTTTTCAAAAACGAGAAACGACAAACAGGATGAAGAATGCCAATCAAAGAAGACAAACAAGATTACGAGACAGATGCTAACTTTTGCAATTATGAATAGGGCGATGCATTGCAGGAGAGCCTTTTTCATAGCTTTAATGAGAGAGTTGGGTTTTAACATAGCTTTAAGCAATATTGCAGCAATATTACGAAGTGGAACCCAGAAACGGGCTCCACGTTGTACCATTGGGAAATATTTTGATAAATCGAACTTTAACTTATATATAATCATGTTTTTTTCGTTGAAGTTCTTTGGGTTTTTATTGTCTAACGCCTCACTCAGCAATATTCCAGCTACATAACGGCGGTCTGTAAATATTCGAGTCTATACCAGAAAAATGAATGACATGAGCACCGATCTACAAAATCGGGATGCGATGAAATGTGTCAACCATGTCAGCGAGCCTGACCACCCGATCCGTTAGTCGCGTCTGACAAGAAGTGAGTGAGTGAGTTTGGTTTTACGCCGCTTTTGGCAATATTCCAGCAATATCACGGCGGGGAACACCAGAAATTGGCTTAACACATTGTACCCATGTGGGGAATCGAACCCGGGTGTTCGGCATGACGAGCGAACGCCTTAACCACTAGGCTACCCCACCGCCCCTCTACGACAAGAATGTTTTGCTGATGACCAATTCTAACCCGGATCTTCACGTGTTTTGTTCCTTGCAATGTTTCGTTTTCAACCATTGGTTCATTCCACCAAAGTTTGATGCAGCTTTCCGATAATCACAGCCTGCGAACGTTTGACCCTACTTGTAAATTCAATGTAGTAGTTTTATGTTTTGTTTGAAATAAGTAATCTCTTTGAGGGGACGTTAAGGGTTCCGCTTCTACCCTATAACCAAAGAAGTATTTACAGTAAAGTACCAAACTAAAATCAATAACAATTAATTGCATGGACCAATGTTCAAAATCAGAAACTCCTCACAGTGCCCAAGTGACAGATTTCTAATTATGCCGACAAGTTTTCCCTCTTACAAAGTCATCCAACTGAGCACTCACCACTCAAAACGACAAATTCATTCGGTACAGAAATTGTTTTTCTCCTTTAAACAACGTCTTAGTTATTCCCCATCCTTCTAACCATCTTTCTCTCACTCCGACAGTCACAAGCACTGGGCTCCGTACACTGGACCTGCAGTGGAATCACTTGAGACGCGAGAGTGCCGTGGAGCTTAGCAAGGCTTTGGCGGTAAGCGGCCTCTCATCTTCTGGAACAGAGGCCTCGCTTTCTGTTTCCGTCACCCTCACCCCCTTAAAGCTGTTTGCCCTCCATGTTAGAAAACACTCCTGGGTCAGAGTCTCTCGACATTGGACCAACTGTCTGCTCTAAGGGGATTTTCTGGAGAACGCCACAGGAATGGGTGTTTGATTTTTAAATACATTTTATTTGTTAAACCTCAGACAGCATTGATTGCAACCTCAATTAACCCTGTTAGCTAGACTGATAGGCAATTGCGTGATTATTCCCGTGTATTACGTGATTAAGTGTGTTTCAGGGTATACAGCTCCGATGAACTGATCGAACGTTCAATATCTGAGAAAGGAGTCCTGATTTTACTGTTGTGTGAACATCTATCAGGCGATGAACACTTCAGCAGATGGGGGTCGACTAGTAAAATATACTCCGCAAACAAGTCGCGTCTGAAATTTGCATTGAGGAGTGAAACTATTTAATTACCAAATGTAAAGTTGCATAGCGTCTCTGGCAATGTAGAAATGTTTTCTGAGTGTGATCGCTTTTATTGAAATAATACCCGAATCGAGAATTTTGAAATGCCATTTTCTCTAGTTCAAAGTATAATTATTTTCCTCAAACCGAGACACGATACGACTGCTGTAAAGCAAGAGTTTGTGGTTTCGATAAGTGATGAAGTTCAGTCTAATGCAGCCTTCAACAGCATTTTTCAATGATATCCCTACGTGCAGTCTACCGCTTAGGATCGTAATCACACCAAGGATCATAGTCACGGCCAATACCGGATCATTGGATCATGTGAGGGAAGTTACTCTGCAGAAATATTTGCTTTAGCAGTGCGTGAGCGTGTTTAGTTTTACGCCGCACTCAGCAATATTCCAGCTGTATGGTGGCGGTCTGTAAATAATCGAGTCTGGACCAGACAATCCAGTGATCAGCATCATGATCGTCGATCAACGCAATTGGGATCGGGTGGTCAGGCTCGCTGACCTGGTTGACACATGTCATCGGTTCCCAATTGCGTAGATCGATGCTCATGCTGTTGATCACTGGTCATGGGTTGTTTGGGTCCAGACTCGATTGATTTACACTTAGTCTGAGTTTTTGACTTAAGCCGAGTTTTACTCAATATAAACTGGAATAGAATTACAATGAGTATGACGTGTTTAATTTAAATAATGCAAAAACATTCAGCACAAATTGTCAAACTCGGTTTGAAATTTGAGATGTTTGTTTATAACTGTTATTATATTTCCTATAATTAGATATTATGTAAATCAATGATGGGCAGCATACTTTTCCATCTTCAGTCGTATGCTTTTTGTTATTTCAAGCTTTCCTGTGTCCTTGTGCTGATACACACATTTACAGGACAAACTGCTGGTCATGTAATTGTGAACAAGCTTTGACAAAATACAAAACTCAAGAGAGAATTGCAACCGAAGACTAGGAGGGGTATTGTTGCCCTTTGGATATAAGGCAAATCTGTCCACTAATACCAGGATTCAGTGATAATTCCTTTTGTTTACAGAAAAACCAAGGCTTGAAATTGCTGAACGTTGCGTGGAATGGTTTTGCCAAGGAGGGATGTCTAGCATTAGCCAAAGCCCTGAAGGTCAATACGTCACTACAAGAGCTGGACCTTACGTGCAATAGAATCGACTACCAGTCTCTCAGCTTCCTGGCTCACGGGCTGGTGCTCAACAAGGGTCTCCAAACAGTCAAGGTACTCCCAGTATAATCGTCACTAAGTCTTCACGACAAAGTCACAGACCGTCGTATTATATACTGGACAAAATAAGTTAGGGATATTGGTATTTTTATGATTGATATTTTATCAATGTGTCAATGAATAGATAGATCATTATTCATAATTTCAAAATTTTCATATATCCCTAACTATTTTTGTCCAGTATATATCAATCCATGTATAATTCCAACACGTATTGTCTGTACCGCAATCGCGTGTAATGTCATGAATATTGAGATATTTTTAATGCCTCTAATTTATTGCGGATGCGGAAATTGACGATGATTGTGCAAGAATTCGTAGCCGATTTTTCTTAATTGCGAGTTTGAGGGCTTTTTTCGAACAAATTGTTTGCGCAAATTTAAGTTTCATTTATAATGAGAGTGAAAAGGAATCTAATAATCGAAACTGTTTGTTTCTAAGTGGGATATCCATGTTAATCAGGTATTTCAGTACGCTAGCAATATAAAACTTGTAAAACGTACCAATTTTACACCTTGGGTCAATGGCATGTTGTATCCATAACCATGTTTTTTAACCTATGGGTTGGCCATTTGAGTAAAACGCAGCATAGATCAGTATTTCATTAATGTCATAGCATAATGTGCGACGAAAGGCCAGGCAGGTCGTACACATGTGGCAATTGCCCCACACGTGTATGTCGACAGTGACATACGGTTCAGAAGCAGAACTCGAACTCGACAATTGCGTGTGCGAGAGTCAGAGACGCCATTGGGCAAATTACGAAGGTTGCAGTTCCTCTTGACATGATATATGTAATCTTAAACAGATATACTGATGATATGTTCACAAAAGTACTCACGCGTATGTCAGTTGAAACATTAGTCGATGTGCGTGAAGTCTGCTTCCCTTCTCAAACCGCGAGTCGCCATGTTTTATGACACTTGACATCTGCTGCGCGCACGGACTTCATGCGTTTGCAATGCGCTATAAATAACATGAACCTTGACCTTGGATATACTTACGTTGTTGTAAGACAATGTATTTATTACCTGTAATCCATGAGAAAGATTTAAAATATTTTTTCAATGTTATTTTCTTTTCTTATACACAAACAAGTGTACTTGATTAAGAGCTGGAGATCAATTAGGTGAGTGAGTGGTTATGGTTTTACGCCGCTTTTAGCATTATTCCAGCAATATCACGGCGAGGGACACCAGAATGGACTTCACACATGAGGGGAATCGAACCCGGGTCTTTGACATGATGACCAAACGCTTGAACCGCTAGGTTTCCCCACCGCCCCGGACACCAATTAAGAGAGTTCGCAATTCTCGTTTTTCGCTATTATTGAATCAGCGGCGAGATGCCTACTTTTGAATACATTTCAGACGTACAGTAGGGTTGGATGTTACAACACGCTTAAGTGGCATGAGAATTATGTTTGAACGAATAGTAGCCCATCTTTCAATGGTACACTACTGAAATTTGAAAGAATGAGTGAGTGAGTTTAGTTTTACGCCGCACTCAGCGATATTCCAGCTATATGGCGGCGGTCTGTAAAGAATCGAGTCTGGACCAGACAATCAACAGCATGAGCATCGTTCTACGCAATTGGGATCTGATGACATGTAAACCAAGATATCCTGATCCCGTTAGTCTCCTCTTACGACAGGGGCGGTGGGGTAGCCTAGTGGTTAAAGCGTTGGCTCGTCACGCCGAAGACCTGGGTTCGAATCCCCACATGGGTACAATGTGCGAAGCCCATTTCTGGTGTCCCCTGCCGTGATGTTGCTGGAATATTGCTAAAATCGGCGTTAACACCAAACTCAGTCAGTCAGTCCTCTTACGACAAGCATGGGTTACTGAAGATCAATTCTAACCCGGATCTTCACGGGTAGTATGAAAGAAAAATACCCCACGTTCGAGTGATTGGCACACCAACTTAAACGAATGGAACAAGTTCAACGGCAAGCGACTATTTTAGAATGACCTTTTATATTGTTTGAGAAATACGAGGGTTTTCGTGTACTATTTTTTCAGTATATATAATATATATTTTTTGTATTATCCTCCAGCTGGGACACAACCCCATGACGACAGAGGGCGCTAACCAGCTCCTGAAGGCGATAGCGGACTGTAAGGAGTCGAACTTGAGGGAGCTGTCTCTGGAAGTACGTGTTTTAATAGTCATATTAATGGGTCATTTATCGTTGTTTCCAATATCAACCACTGGTGCGTATGGTGCAGACCCTGTCACAAGTCATGATTCAACTGAAGCAGTGCTGATTGCGACATAAACAATATTCACTCAGTCTTTATTTGTCATAGGGGTGGTTGGTTAAAGCATTGGCTTGGCAACGTACCAACCCGTGAAGATCCGAGTTAAAATTGATCTTCAGTAACATTGCTTGTCGTAAGAGGCGACTAACGGGATCGGGTGGTCAGGCTCTCTGACTTGGTTCACACATGTCATCGTATCCCAATTGCGTAGATCGATGTTCATGCTGTCGATCACTGGACTGTCTGGTCCAGACTGGATTATTTACAGACCGCTGCCATATAGCTGGAATATTCACAGGTATGACTGGTTAGGGATATGCTGACGAAATTGTGTGTACTGTCGTTCATTCGCTTGAACTGCCGGAAATATTGACCAGCAAGACGATAATACAAGACCACATGGTGTCGAGGTTGTCTCGGGTTTTCCAAACGAGGATACACACGGACTCTGGCCAGTAAAGTCCCCTGACATGTCTCCAGCAGAGATTCTCTGGTTGGTTTAAGGGCGGAGAGTTCACGTCAGAAACCCAGCATCCGCCAACGTGGCCCAGCTTGGGGTCGCTCTTTAGGCGGAATGTCGTATATTAATCCGTATATCATAGGGACTAAACTCGACTATCCAGATCCAATTTCCAGCGTCGGTCTAGACGGTGTAATTAGCCACTTGCCTCATTCAAAGGCATGGTCTCTGTGTTATAAAGGAAATCATTACTTGACAGTGAGATGTATACATCATAATATTTGAGCTTTAAACAACGTACGGTTTGAAGGCTTTGAATCAAGACTGTCAACCGGTCGACACTGGTCCGTACGCTTGGCATTTGATGAAGGTAGTAAACCACATACTTTCTGTTCCGGCAATAGGTTTAGCTGCGTTGTCAGCCCCGACACACCAAATCATCATTTATGTCGAAACGTGTTTAGCATGAGTGTGGTTTTTACGAGCAATGGAACACGAGCTAGTAAAGTAGGGTTAAAACTCCCTTTTGTTTCAGTTATATACTCAACAACAAAAGTTACGCGTTACAGAAACACCTGTTCATGTATACTGGACTTGCAGTAAAGTCAGCAAATCTAAAAACAGCTCGAACACTGCGAACAAAGTCAAATCAAAGAAGATATTAACAATAATTATTTATCAATTTGCTGTCTTCATATCGTGCCTTGTTATCGAAGTTGTAAACGTTGTCATTATCCTTCTCAAAGACTTGATTTTCATGCTCAAAATAAAAATAGAATTATCCAGTTTCTATAGATCAGTTTGATCAAATTTAATTATTATATGTAACGAATCGATGTTGCGAGATCAGAACCACCTTCATACTCTTTGACTCATTATGATAACTTCGCGGAACCGTATTGTCAGACATTTAACCCAGTCCTATATGAAACTGGCTAACATATTTCACGCTAGCTTACCCCTCTGCCGGGGCTCGTTCGCTGGTCACGCCGAAGACTCGGGTTAGATTCCCCACATGGGTACAATGTGTGAAGCCTATTTCTGGTGTCCCCCGCCGTGATGTTGCTGAAATATTGCTATAAGCGGCGTAAAACCATACTCACTCACTAGTCCATCTGCCGATCAATATATCAAGGCTGTTTCATAACGGCATGGAATGAATTTATTTAAGGTTAAGTCAATGAAGTATTTGACTTCAAGGAAACCTGAATATATACGTGTTCTTGTTTAACACCATGGGAAACCGTTCTCTTTCAATATTCATGTGTAGGGTACGTAAACTCCATTAATTAAGGACACCTTTCCACTTAAATTTTCTACAACTGGCATGTTTAAAATTATAAGCACATTTCAAGATGCGATGCTTGAGAGATTACACGTCAAACATTAAAAATTAATTTGAAGCCGTCTCTTCTTCAGCGCCCGAGAAGGCTTCACCTTTATTGAACGATACGAGTTTCATACACTTCAACAAATCATTAATCTTTTATTAATGTTAAAGGTGAGGTGAAATAGGCTTTAACGACGAACTCGAGATTATTGCACTGATATAGTGTGTGTGGCTGCTTGTACGGGCAGATGCTTGGTGTTTGAACTAGGCAACTGAGATACCATGCAGCAGTTTAACATGGAGAATCAGCCACATTATACTGACTCCAAGCCAACCCTTAGTGTTTATCCCCGTAGTGCCGAGCGCAGGCGGGGTAACAACAAATACCATTTTCAACGGCTTTTGGTCTTCGACGCTTTTAGCAATATTCCAGCAATATCACGGCGGGGGGCACCAGATATGGGCTTAACACATTGTACTCATATAGGGAATCGAACCCGGGACTTCGGCGTGACGAGCGAACACTTTAACCACTAGGCTAACCCACCGTCCCTATGGGGCTGAGAGTTTGGGTAGACATACGTTCAGTTGGAGGCAGCTTGGAGCTTCATTTACTCACAAGAATAACAATTTAGCTTGATCTTTTCGGTCACACCTTCATGTTTAACTCAGCTACACTTGTTACCTGATGATGTTTCCATCAATGCAAATGTGAATAGGTGCATTGGAGCTTCAACGTGTTTAGTTGATCTTTTTATATCAGTTGCTTGTTACCGATGATGAAGTGGATAGGTGCATTAACGTGTTAGTTTAATCAGTTGCTGGTGAAGTGGAGCGACAGTTTGCTAGTCACCAGTCTTTATTTCGAGAATAAATCACATGCGAACAAAAGCTTCAGATATTTTTACGGAGTAGATCGAAAGTCAGCTGAGAAGCAGCAATCTCCCATGGACAACGGCTTCAGTGAGTTTCAGCATTTTGTCGATGATTGAAATGTGAAGTTATTCAGGAAGGGTCTTTTCTTTCAAATTTCCTCAATAATCTGTCATTAAAAATACCTCCGACCTGTGGGGGTTTATTTGAAATCAGGCCTCCGTTACTGTTAAATGTTTTGCTTTCAAATGTGCGCATCATCAACGGGATCAAGTTGCATGGGGGTGACTATGGAGAATATTGTTTACACGATAGCATACTTTACAAAATGTTCTGTTTCACAATTAACTATCGATCAGTTCTGAGGATCGTGAATTAAATTATTCGAATATATGGTGGTAGCAGGGGGTTGTTGTCATGAATTCCGTCCTTGCCACACTGCCCAGCCTTTACTCGAACACTTGGTATCTTCACTATTTGGTAGTGATTCATAAATCACATTTAGGATGAAGTCGGAATGGTACAATGGATTCCGTTTCACGAAGAATTTTATCACCTGCTCTTTGTCTGTAGCTATGAATGAATGTTAAAAGTATGAACTTGCAAAACCGAACTAAAATTTATGGCAAGACTGACCTTTTTGTCTTGTCAATGAAACTATTTTATCCGGTAAATGAAAATGTTTTGTCTGGTAAATATACTGGCAGTCCAGCTTTCCGAGTTTATTTATTTATCGAAATATATAGTGAGTGAGGAATGGAAGGCGCTTATATTGATTTTATTTGTTGCCACTGTGTACATTTGATGATCGTTGTGGGTTTCTTCTTGCTCTCTTTCATCTTCCAAGAAAGAGGATCAAGACAAAATGGTTATGCTTCATTTTCAAAATGAGCTGTTCCGAGTTTGAAAATGTATATTTATTTATTAAAATCATTGATGGTTCCAAACTTTTAATATGATAGATGAAGGGGAGAGGGTGCAAATATGTTATTATATGACACGATATTTCATGAAATGAAAATGGATGGTCCTTCATGATATTGGAGAATCAATGTCATTATCGGTGTTCCAGCACATTCGATAAACGTTAAGGGGCACGAGAGAACAAGAATGGCTATAAATTATCAATTTATCTCCCTTTATCACTCAGATACATGCGTGCCGGGGCGGCTTTGGCAATATGTTGAGTGCTTTATTTGCGTTATCTTACTCCCACGATGCACTGCGATTCGCCATGTTTTGCCCTGGAGGTAGATTCTCTTCCGGTGTGTTTGTTTCTGAATCACAGATCATCAAAACCCATGCCTCGATGTGATGTTGTTTCGTTCTATACTCACTGTTAACCGTTGTAAAGTTTTTTAATATTTACTTCATGTTTTGAAAAAAGCGGACTCTGATTTCACGATAACAGTCTCGATATATTGCCATAAATAGTTTTATTTGAATCAAATGCATTTTGTTGTTGTTAGATTTGGCGGAGAAATTATAGCTTTCTGATAAATGTATTTAACTGCATTGGGAACCGACTGCAGACCGAATCTATCAGAGCAAGGTGGTTGGATTTCATAACGATATCTGTTGCAGGGGCCTGCAGGATAAATCCAAGCCACTCAGCATAACACTGAATGGGAGAACAAAACAATCGTCACCGTGAGGTGGCATTAAGTGCCGTTAGGTGGGGCCTGGGGCATAGTCGATATTGTTGATTTAGTGGACTCCATGATGAACAAATGAGTCAAATGCAATGTGGAATATATGCGAAAAAGTTTACTTTTATATAAAATATAATCATTATGTAAACTCACAAAATACTAGCATTGATGGCCTGGCCTGCTGCATCATAGGAGGTACAATTTACAAGTTAGTGAGTGAATATGATTTTTATGCCAGTAGTATCAAAGTAAGGGACAACATAAATGGGCTTCACACATTGTACCCACGTTGGGAATTAAACCCGGATCTTCGGCGTGACGAGCGAACGCTTTAACCACGACGCTACCCTAACCACCTTAAAACATAAGAAAAGTCACTAACAGACATGAACAACCTACAACAAACTGTACAACATTAATTATACTCCCCACCTCAATCTGTATCTAATATCCAGTAGTACTCGTACCTTCAGATAATATATATATATATCATAGAAACTGAAACAATTCCAGTCAGTAATTAACCCTCCCCATCCTGTGACTGTTGTCAAGCAAGCCACCCCATCCTTCGGGTCTTGGTAATATATTATCCTTAATCATATACTCTGGTTCTTGATAACATATGCCATTCTCGATTTCCGATTGTCATGTCCCAACTTTTTCATGCCTTGACTTCATCAGCTGGTGTGGGTGGCCCGGACTCAGATAATGTTTGATACTCGATTACATAAGAAGTTTTCTATTTCGAGACAGGATTTGTATACGTTGGCTGGTACTGAGTGCTGGCTGGTTATGTATCGTCATGGCCCATCTTGACAAATGGTACTGTGTCTTTCGGGTATATTTTCCCACCTAGCTATAAAAAATATATCCTTAAAAGGCATTCATTCTCGGTGCGTACAATATTGATAAATGTCAGTTCGATCCCTCCCCAGATGTGAACAGTATACGTGTATTGGGTCGCTCTTTTATCACAGGCGTCAGGGTCGGTCATCAGCCCTTCCAAGGCCTGCTGGTCTTGAGTTCGAATCCCATATATTTAAACCGATTTTGATCCTTGATTTGTTAACATAAACTCCGTGTTTTTATATTTTCTCGAATGTGGTAAAAATCCACAACATGTGCCACGGTGAGCTTTCGCCCTTCAATGTGCTCAATGTTGGAATATGACTGATTGTCACTGTTGTTTAACTCACTCACTCTATCACAAGCAGGGCGGTGGTTTAAAGCATTCGCTCGTCACGCCGAGTGCCCGGGTTCGATTCAGTACATGGGTACAATGTGTGAAGCCCATTTCTGGTGTCCCCAAGCGTGATATTGCTGGAATATTGCCAAAAGCGGTGTAAACCTAAACTCACTCATTTACTCTATCACTGCATCACTCACTCACCTATTTACTTTTCCAGGACATTGCTGTCGATCGTGAGTTCATGGAAACCATGAAGGCCATCCAGGAAACCCGGAACCTCAAGGTCATCCACGGTCATGAGATGAAGCTGGCCACTGGCTCGGTGTCACGTGACCATGACGGAACCAGCCTGCAGCGGTGGGAACCCACACTGGTTCTGTTTGAGTACATGAAAATGGACAACCTTCGTCTGATTGATATGTTCAAAAGTTTCGACGTTAAGAAGAGAGACAAGTTGTCCCGCTCTAACATTAAAGATGGCATCAATGTAAGTATTGGTCAAAGCTTAAAGATGTAGTTGAATTGTGGCGTTGGTTCAAGATGGAATTGGGTTCGAATCCTGGTTCTCCCTCATCATTTCTCTAGGTTTTTCAGCTCCATACACGTGCTCATGGGAGTCATAAAAAAGTCTGAGATCTTCATCTTTTAAGGCTTTCCTCCCAGGTTAAGCCTACACGGGGTGGTATAACTGGAATACTGTTCCACGTTTCGTGAAGCCCAACTCAGCCACAAACCGATAAACCGACTCACTCACTCACTCATTCTCCCACTCACTCACCCATTCACCCACTCACTCACTTACTCGGGAAGACTCGGTATTGAAATGTTGATAGTCAAAGACCTCATGCTTGGGGTTTCATGGGTTTTTTTCTGACGGGCACATTGAAGCTTCCATTATATCAGCTGGAGTTATCTGTAGTTTGAAATAACGACACCGCGCCGCCTTGAATAGTGGTTCCGTTATGTGTGGACTTAAACTCGGGAGCAGTGAATCTATGCGCCATAGACTACTGGGCCACCCATGTAAATGATGATGATCGTGATTGACTCTGAACAGTGAATCTCAGCGCCCTATACTAATTGGCCACCGCTTCCCGATTTTAGTATGATGATGATGATGATCATGATCATGATGACAATGGTGCTCGTGATTGATTTTTGTCATCTAGGATTCTAGAACCATTCCACATTTTATATTCAAATTGTATTTTATCCATTACGTTTGTGAACGAAACTCAACAAATACATGCAGCATCTAATCAACTACCATCGCTGAATGTTATGTTGACTGTAGTTATAGAATCCGTGCAGTAATGAGTTCAACACACATATCGTATAGATCTAACAGATATCAAGTGTTAATCATCTAGGTCATCACAGCCATTAACGAAAGCAAGCACCTTCGATGGCGATAGCAGGTGGGATTTGGCCACGATTATTTAAGTGGCCTAGATGAGGTTTGGTCCAATCTAACCCCGAGGCTTAAATCTTTACTTAATTGATTAGATCGTATGAACACAAGCTTAGACCTAAATATAATTTACTCCAGCGACAATGGCGAGCAGTTGGACAAGCAGCGGCAACGTGTCGTTGAAGTGGTTGAAATGGTTTGGCGGCTCAACAGCTTGATCAGGCTGGGCTCCGTCCTCACTGTAATGGGGTCTTCGATTGTTCCATATTGAACACGTCTCTGAATATTCATTAATTGACCAAGAAACGGGAGTGGAAATGGGAAGTATTTCCTTTGTGAATACAGTGGCCAAAACGACCCCGAATATGCAAATCGAAAAATGTTTGTTTAACTCTGTAAAGATTTCCTTTCCTATTTTGAAAGAAATCCTATCATCACCCGTTCGGTTTCGGTAATGGCTGTTTAATATATCAGATGAGGGGACGGTCTTTGTCGTCTTAACATACGTGACAAAGACCATTTCGTTTTGTCACTAATTGAATCAGTGAGAATGTTATAAAAGACACATGAACAGATTCTGACTGTTCCTGTCGAACACCATCAATGTTCCAATCAATCAGTGGTGGCCGGTGGTGTTTATTGCTGAGAACGTCTTCCCGTAAATACACCTGATGCCACGCGTTATTTCAGCCTAGGCCATAACAAGGTAGTATTTATTGCTGAACACTCCTCAATTGTGTAAATAGTGGGTACTTCCGGTAGAGCAGGACATGCGCACCCTTTTCGTGAACATTGGACTCATCACTGCAGTTCAGTGATCTAGTGACATAATTATCGCCACCATTTTGTTTTCGCCCATTGTAATCTGTGGGCCACTGGCGAGACGCGTTGTTTTCCAGCGTTTACATTTCATATTTAAACGAGTTCAATAAAATCCGCCATCGCTTTCAATCTTCCCCTTCGTGTAATGTCATGGCCGTTTGAGGATTAACTTTTTCAGTTGATTTGCCTTTGTGGACATTATTGCTTAACGTCGGTAGCGTAATAGTATGAAACGTTCCAACAGCCACATATAAATTGACCATGCTTTATTCACACCGGCGTTCTAATGACATAATACACGCAATTACCTGCAGATGCAATCGAGCAGTTTCAACTGCAAACACGGACGTCCGGCGTAATGTTTGACCATTAGACATTAAAAGGAATGTGTTCTCGACGGAACTATTTTGTCCGAGGAACTATTTTCAGTCTACTTGTAAGCTTCGTATCTGAGTCCGTGTGGCCAACATTGACTCCAACATATCCGTGTTCAGGGCTGTAATATATATAGGTCGGCCCTTAACAAGGATATGGTATAAACGCGTTTATCAGTACTTTACACTACATAAATAACTTGTGATATTGTTGACCAGACTCTTCAAGTTTGAAATGGTCCAAGCAGATAAATCATGCAAGCCTTTGTTGATAGAATGATTTGGCTGTCGTGGTAAGTCTGTATGGTGAGTTGTGCCACAGTTGTCCAGAATAACCCCGCGCTGACGTCATCTGACATTTAACACAAATTATGGCGCTTTCGGTCGTGTTGATGTTTCCGACAAATGCTCTCTGGTTCAGGGTTTATTTAGATGATGGAATGTTTAGATAGTGACCTGGAGTTATATTGATGAGCTAATACAGCCGATCAGCTGGATGCTCCAGATACGATACACTCTACGTTCGAATCATTCACTTGAGTTATTTGAACACCAACAACCCGATTTAATCATTGCACTTAAACAGCATGTAAACCTGAATTATCAGTCATCCCAAAGATGTTGCCTTCATTAGTTATATTGAAAGTTATGTAAAGTGTCATTTTCACAAAGTGTTCACTCGCCACACTGAAGCCCCGAGTTCAATTCTCTATTCCACTTCAATGTGTTGAACAGATTTCTAATGTCAAGTTACTACCATACCAAATAAGACCACATTAGAAAGCCTCACGCCATATATGCCCTAGTTTGTTCTCTTAGAAGTAATGTTATTATACACATATTTTCTGTTAAACCATTGGTTATGTAATATGCGCACATGCAAATTTATTAATTATATTATTTTCATCAATGATTATTTTTTAAATGATGCCACAGCCGCAATATTGGAAGAACTATATTTGGCCTATGGACAGCTGTTCAGATATCAAAATGACAATGTCATGTTTTTTAAACATATTTTGTTGACAAAAGACAGAGGTTGTCTCCAATACACACACGTCTCTTTGCGTAATCATTATATGATGGAAGACCATCTCCAGAGCGGTTGTGTGCAGAGATGAAGGTCGACGGTTCGAACCCTGTCCGTAACGATGGCGGATATCTGATATCGGGAAAGAGACGGCGATTGAGCAAGGGGTTAGTTTTGGTTTAACGAAATACATGTATAGAGGTTGCCTCCCCAAAAATTGTTATGTATTTTTGTCTCTCACATTTCGCTGTCAGTGATACCACTTGATTGGAAATAAGGATTCTTACAACTCATTGGCATTCGTCTTTGTTGGTCGTTTTAAGTCGCAGTTCTCTATATCAGTTCTCTATATCCGGCCTTTGTAAACTTCAGTGCAAAAGAAAGGGAACAATTTGAAATCTGGACTTGACCAAACAATTAGAAACATTATCAAAGCTTCACTAGGCTGAAATCAGTTACCCAAACACTGAAATGTCAGTGTATACTATATTTTGTCCGGCAGTTCATCTAAGTGATAGCCGACATATAGCTGAGTGGGGAGTTAAACACCAACCTACTCTAATCATGCACGTCAGTATATCCAGTGTTATAATCCGGTGGTTAGTTCTCGTCACGCCGAAGACCGTATATACCAGTGTTGGTCAATGTCAAATGTGGTTAGAGTACAATGACACACAAACGACCACAAAAACAATCCTACTGTTTGTTAGCTTTTACAAGCAGGTTGAAATAGGAACCTATTCTGACCTGGAATCCCCCAAGGTTTACACATTTGTGAACGGGTAACGGGAATAATCGCTTCCAGCTAGTGAGTGAGTTTGTGAGTGAGCTTGGTTTATTTTTTCGCCGCCTTTTGCAATATTCCACCAATATCACCAGAAATGGGCTCCACACATTGTACCCATGAGGGGAATCGAACCCGAGCCTTCACTATCACATTGCCCCAGTCGCTTCAAAAGTATAAGGTGAGCTGCAGTACCGTGGCGTTGTCGCCTATTTAATCAGTCGTGTTTGTTTCGGTTGTTCGATTTACCTGAATAATCAAGTCGTCGATAGATTGTTAACCATTGTTTACTGGAATGGAATTGCTCTACTACTTAATAGCAAATATATTCAGGAATAATCAAGTCGTTCCTGATAGACTGGAGACTGGACTGGAGTCGGTCAGCTGTAAATGTCAGACCATGTGTCTCTTTCGTGAAATGAACAGCTGATCGTCGTGCTCGTGATTAAAACCATACAAGTTTAGTTGATTTCGAATAAAATATAAAGATTGTTGATTCTGGGAAGAATATTATCTCTCGGAGGACATATAAGTTTGTAATAAATAAAATAAAATGTAATAAAAATGAAGTTGAGAATTTTGTTTAAAGAGCAAAGATTTCTGTCTATCGATCTCGATGACATTATTTCAGTATATTTACTATGAAAAGTATGCAGTTAAGTTAAGAATGGAATTTTTTTGTTTAACGTGTGTTGCAAGGAATATAAAGATGAGTCCCCAGATAACAGCTGTTGTTGCAAGATGGCACCAGTGACAACATGGCTGACAGGCAGCAGTCGTATGATTAAATCAAATTGTAAAAAGATTTCGGTGAAGAGAACCGTTCAAACGAAGCCACTGAAGAAAACCTAAACCTCCATGTCAAGCTGTTGTCCACATCACCACGGTTTACATAATTCCAACTATAGAAGCATGTGGTACTTTTAAACCATGGGACTTAATTAAACACACTGTATCGTTTGTCTTCACTTGAAATCTAAAAGTAATTGACAAACACCTACATTAGTTACGCCCGTGAGTTGAAGCTTCCCATGATGCGTCAGTAAGCACAAAAACCCCACTTTATTGATGAACTTGATAGAAATTGATGAAGCCAACTAAATCAGCAGTAACAGTTGTTTCCCCTGAAGACTCTGTCTTTCTCGAATGAGTGAGTGATTGAAAGTGATTACGCCACAGTCAGTACATTCAAACTATACGGTGTATACAAGCGGCCTGTACATAATAGAGAACGTCTCTGGCGACATAGTGGATGGAAGGCCCAGCAACGATCGACGTCGTCGGTGTAACACACAGCCAGGAGAGGTTGTTGCCTTCCTGCTTGTCACCGATGTCGTTACTTATCCAGACATCGAATCTCCACGAGGTTACAGAACTTCGGAAAGGCATTTGTCAACGTGGACCTATGGCGTCTACTATATGCCAGCATATAATCTTTCTGGTGGTTATTTTGGAAAGTCGTTCAGCCTTTTCGCGAACACGATCGAGGACAATTTTTATAATGGTGGTACTTTTTAAGTTATATTTTAAATGTTAACAAAATCTGTATAGATTGAAAAAACTGAAACTATAATGTTCCGTTGAGATAGTTCCTCACAATAATTTGTAAAGGGTATTGTCTTTCAACTTTCAGATTTCAGATATTCATACAGAGGCAATGGGATAGCCTAGTGGTTAAAGCGTTTGCTTGTCACGCCGAAGACCCGGGTTCGATTCCCCACATGGGTACAATGTGTGAAGACTATTTCTGGAGTTCCCCTCCGTGATATTGCTGGAATATTGCAAAACGCGGCGAAACCCAAACACACTCATTCATATTTATACATATTTATTTTCGGAATTCAGGATTAAACAATGAATGTGTCAAAATTGGCTTAATTGGATTCCACGCGCAAGTATGCTGAAAGCATCACACCAGTGTCATTCTGGTCAGTGGATCAGTGTGTCATTCTCGGCTCCCGGGAAGTTCACAACCCACGCTGCCTGTGAGGCTCAAGCGGCTGATCCATCATTAATATATCGCTGCTGGGTGAACAGAGGCTCATTTCGAACAAAGTCACTTGCCTAACATATAACATAGATATCAGTGAGCAGCAAGACCAAAGCCCAAGAGACTCCCAGCATTTGCACCCGGTCACCCATCCACCGACTCTCCGCAGCCACCATTGCTCACCTTGCCCTGATTTGTTGCCAATCTTATATATACAAATCCATATGCCACAGGCTTTTCTCATCGATGAACATCGGTTCATAAGTTACCCCTATCCCGCACCATAATATGTAAATGCGCATGATTGGACATCAAATAACAAATCAAAAACCAATTAAACCTGGAGGCTTGATGTTCCATGATAAATTATGTGTACAGGTCAGAACAGACTATAAACCGTAACCTGTTGACACTAACAAATTTACTTAAACTGTTTCAGGACATACTATCCCGTAAAGTGACCCGCCTTTGATAAAACGTTTCGTTATTGAACATTGCATTTATTTGAGCCCAACACTGATGCCAGTTAGCTCTTAATGGCCGCCAAGCTCAGGCAGTACTGGCATGGCCAGCGAAATGTCTAAGACAGCAGTTTGCCCCGTCCGATCCCTTTGAAATAATAGGGTTATATATGAAATCCCGTCTTAACATCCCAGACTAGAGCGATTTGACACACGCAAATAGTTGCCGACAATAACTGATCTCTTCTCTTCTCCAGACGCTGAAAATTCCCTTCACGGAACATATGTTGGACGAGATTATGGAGAAGCTGGATGTGAACAAAGATGGCGTGCTAGACTTGGAGTAAGTCTAGATTTAGACTTTTATTCTTTATTTGTTTGTTGTTTTACGCCGCACTTAACAATATTCCAGTTATATGGTGGCGGTCTGTAAATAATCGAGTCTGGACCAGACAATCCAGTGACTGGCATCACGAGCATCGATCTACGCAATTGGGATGCGGTGTCATGTGTCAACCAAGTCAGCGAGTCTGACCACCCGATCTTGTTAGTTGCATCTTACGACAAGCATGGGTTGCTGAAGACCAATTCTAACCTGGATCTTCACTGGTCACATTCACTTTAGATAGTCCACTAGGATCGGTTTGTTGAACGGCGGGCTTGTATATTAAAGGCTGCACGAATAATTCGGTTGACGACGGTGAATCAAATTTTAGCTTATCAGCATTTTCTTTAAGCTGATTATCGAGAGAGGGGTAATTTACTTGAGTATCATAATGATGAATACAAAGAAAATTGATTCATATGACGATTCTATATACTTAAGAATAATTTAGATGAGAGTTGCTTTCAAGTATTTAATCGAATTAGCGAGTTCTGCCACATTCAATAAACAACATTTTCAGGTAGAATGAAAGCGTAATAAGATTACAAGAAACTCAAATTTACAAAAATGTTTTGGTAAACTTGGCCATGCTTGTTTAACCAAAATAGGAACAGATTCGAATTGTCGTTAACCGAATCGCATCCTTTCAAAGAACAGCTTAATTTTCTCAAGTGAGCTCCTTCCATGGTTTAAAACATGCATGCGTCTAATTTTAAGTGTAAAGTGTTTACAAAGATGCACATAACCAATAGCAGACACAAAGGTCCACGGTTCTTTCATATAGAATTAAATTAGGCCTTTGCATTGATCACTAACGGTAAGATTAGGAAGGAATGTGCTGAGATTGAGCAAAGTCTAGGACAAGCTCAGGTTGAGGGAAATTAGAGTAGGATTAAAGGCAAGAGGCGTTTAACCTAATAATAGATTGAGTTGGTTTGTCAAATATATTTATCGCGAAGGAAGTAGGTGGTTGAACGAAGGACCAAGAGGAAATGGGGTTTGGCCGAGAAAATTGACTGTCTCGGACTCAAACAGACACACGCCCTGAAGTGTCAAGATGCTTGTAATTGTCGGGTCAGAGACACGGGAATACTTTATGACAGAAAACATGGTTGTCTATTTGTGGAGGCAGTTTTAACACTGAGAGTTGCTATCGATGTTTACACCACCTGAACATATCTCCTTTTCTGCTGTAGAATCCGAGTCAGTCAAATTAACAATCGCTACCGAGTTATTCATGAGCACATGTGTGAAGCAGTGATCTCTCAATTTAACAAAACACGGGGGAACTTGCTGTATCCGAATTGTGGAATATTATTTCTTGTAATAGACGATATCGTTTCTGATGGACGATCTTTTTCTGTGATTTATATACTTTTCATAACATTCGCAATCTGTCTTATGTAGGGTCAAGGAAAACAGGAAACCACAGGCGATGTCAATGTCTAATTCTATCGCCAGAGATACTGTGTTTGTGATGGGTCGATTGATTCGAATGCTGCACCGAAAATATGCATGAAAGTTATCATTTCGTGAAGGCAAATAGCTAAATAAATAAACATCAACGCCTGGAAACAATCAGTGGTCAACAACCGAAACAGATCTCACAGTAATACGCCTCTTCACCGAAGATGGTGGTACTTCCGGTTCCGGTGTAACCCAACATACATTCACCTGAAATGGAAGTGCCCCTAGCTTGAAAATCCAGCCACGGTGACTAGGCGTACAACACTAAAACCGAGAGCAAAAAACATCAAAATATGAATAGTATGAATAGTAAGAAAGTAAAATCATTCTTATATGTATGCTAAATTGGTTCTGAGGTTCTGCTTAATACAACACCACGAATGAACTATAGTTAAAGAATGCTGCATATAGAGTGAGTCAGAGCCAATATGGAGTGAGTCAGCAAGTGAGATATGATTGGTGAAACCCATAGAATGGTGCTGATAAATCCAGGAACAGGGCGATCAGGGAATTCGAGGTCACTGCCATAGGGTTCGAGTCGAGCTTTTTGCGGAGCCTTGTGAGATTTGACCACATGTACACGCCAAACAATAGATAGTTTGAATATAATTCAAGTGGAAAAATATATTCTTTCATTTGATTGTCATTGTTGAACGGCCGTGGCAATATACAAGTATACAATAACAGGCTAAATACTGACATGTCCACAGGTATGCTGGGTCACACTCCATGTGTAACCTTCAAATGACACCACTTTGACATACAGTCAATCCACGGGTTATAAGTTGATCTCATGAGTTGATTGCAAGTGTACACGTGGTTCTAAAGAGGCTTTGTATGTCAGTTGTAATTTTCCCTATTTTCTATTATTTTTTCTGGGTTTTTTTAAAAAGTTTTGTGTTCCTTTTTTGGTTGATCGGAACCAACAACGTTCGATACGCTTCCTTCTGTAAACAAAGAACTGTTTATCTTGAATGAAGCTTGGTTAAAAGCCCGTTCACGCTCTTGAATAAGACGTGGAACAGATTATCGATGTATGTCTCCAGATCAGCTGACCTGTCTCGCTCTCTTGTGTCTGTGATGGCCGAAGGGTATGTGAGATAAATGGGGGAAATTAAGGGAGGATGTTATATGAAGAAGTCAAAGCCTTTTCCTCGAGGCTGGTCCAACGGAGAGGCAACAACTGAAGTCCGTATGTCCACGGTATAATCAGTTCCTTTTCTGTCCAGATCTTCAGGGCAACATGGCATATGTCAACCTGACAGCGTCGAAGTGACCACTGGCCACCGATGCGATAAGGACTGGTCAGTCTATTTCATGGGCTGGGATCGAATTCCCGGTGGATATGTTTGCAGGTTCTGCAGATGCAATCTATTTTCAGGAAGGACTTAATAATTCCTTAGTTGCCAGAAGGTTCAACCTCTGTTAGATATATAGATGACCTCGCTTCTTTCAATGACCAGAAATGACTACCCTAACCTGATGTCTTAATCAAAGAAACATCATCAAATTTACCAGTGTCTTATCTGATCTGTGATTTCAATTCCGAAATGATGTCAGCCTCTGTAGCAAGATGTACTACAAAAGGGAAGATTCTAATATCCAAATAGTCCATTACCCTTTGTCGAACACAATGTCATCCGCCCAGGCTAACAGCGTCTATGATTCTGAAATACTTTAGAGAAAGTACATGTTAGTAAAATTTCACGAAAAGATTCATTCAGCCCATTAAGTATATTTTAAAACAAATTTTCGTCATTATTCCAGAACCTTTATGGTAAAATTAATATTAGAAAGAATTTACTTAAAATAGCAAATTGAATTCTCTTATCTACATGATGTTCGATGCTATCCCATTCTATGTCCTTTACCCGCCATATAGCTGGAATATTGCTGAGTGCGGCGTAAACTAAACTCACTCACCCACTACGACCTTTACATGGCGTTTTCCTCCTCCACTTACTCACTGGCTTATATGTTTGCTACAATTGGGTAATGGTTGGTGCCCCAGTAAAGTAGTACAGTAAGGAATACTTACCCTTTCCATAAACACCAGGTGTCATGACTTCTAGTAATCTTTAATAACTGTCATCGATGTTTTCAGATTTGTCTTTTAAACACCTTGGAGTCTGCCTCGGCAAATATTCGAGACTGATTGTCCTCTGACGTTGAAAGTTATGTTCGTCTGATAATGTTTTTTTCTGTTTTTATCTCTCATCGGATTGTTTCTTTCTTAATAAACAAGTGTGTGAAGACTTCATGGTCCCTCATATGCCTCAAATATGAACCGGTACTTGGTAACATCATGCTCCATGAAGTGGGTCAGTCGATTTACTTGGAAATTGGACATGATATTGATCACACAATATTGCATATGTATCAGTTCTATATTTACACATATTGTAATAAAGACCATGCACATTTTTCCAATATTTATAATCTAATTGGATATTTCACGCATTGTGTCTATGATAGTTCCCGTGATTTTTGAAAGAAAAGAAAAAGCTGAGCAGTATTGACTGTTCCAAGTGATCCGTTCATAGAACTTTCACGGCTACTTTAAACGTAATGGAATCTGATTTGGCAGCTAGACTGATTATCCACCAGCGTTTATGTTTAACATTTTCAACAATGACCGGTTATAGACCATTGGTACATAGAAAAACAACAACTTTCAATAGATGTAACGTCATCACATAAATTCTTTTATTTTGTTATGAAAACCATCGGCCTTTCGCTACCATACATCATTTTTAAAGAGGATTTGAATGGCATGAGACTATAAATAGCCGTCCAGTCCAATAAATTATTATCTATAGGATACATAGAAAGTGGCGCCATTTCTGAAACAAATGTATAGAGAATGGGTCAAAGGTATGTATACAAATACAAAGGAGTTACAGTTGACTGAAACTCGAGGAGATATCTACACTAATATCATTGATTTTGCAGAGAGATGATGAAAGGAGCCAAAGAAATGTCCCGCTACGTCAACCAGCGAACGTTGAAGGCCAAGGCCAAGAAGCGAGAGGACATGGGCCTTGTTACTCTGAGACAGACGCTGAAGAAGATCATCAAGAAACGTAAGGAAGAGCAGGACCAAGCAGCACAGAACGCCAGCAAGGACAGACGGAACAGTATGATGGCGCAGAGTGGACTGCCAGCCTTGGCGGGTATCGTGCGTAAAATGCAAATCAAGAAGGCAACAGGAGTCAGTGTGCAAGATCCCGCTGTGGCCGAGGTGGACGACGTTGAAGGAATGGTGAAGTTGGCCGCGATGAAATTCAGGAAGAGGCTCAAGAAACCTTCACAACCATCAACCATATCCGAAGATGAGGAGACACCGACTGCTGCCATGGCAACAACGATGTCATGACGTTCCACGCAAATTGTAGGAATGGTGACAGTAACCTGACGTTCTATAACAAAAGTGCCATTGGCGTCAACGACGAAAACACGTTGTGGTAACAATGACGTACCTGTTGCTGCATCGTTGACAGTGAAATCATGACGGTCAGTGGATTCCTCAAGAATACGGAAATAGGCAATACATTAATGCTGCTCTTAGAGTTGCGCTTACCTAACGTCGCCCGGTTGCTGTAGCAAAGGCGAAAGGCTGTGGAGCTAAGGCCCGCAGCAAGAAAACAACTATTCTGACGCCTAAAACTTGAAGCAACTACAACGACAGCACAGTGTTACACAAATAAAGCCATAACCTGGTTGCATTGTACCAGTTGAATTAGAATCTCGTCGATAGAAATTTCGAAAAATATCCAATACAAAAAAACGATTTAGTGTAGAATATTGTTTCATGACATCGCAACTCAGTTCATGATACATATAAGAGCAGTAGAGTAGTCTGGTGGTACAAGCATGCGTTCCCACATGGGTACAAAATGTTAAAGGCCCATTTATGGTGTTCCCCGCTAAAATGATACTGGAATATGGCTAAAGCAACGTAACATCTTCTCACTCACTCACTATTCGTGTACGACTGAAACATCCACGTCTGATGTCAATATATATATAGTATGCTCAAACCCAACAGCAAAGACAATACACTATAATAAAACAACTGTAAATTCTTCTTAAAAGGTTACCTCCTCGAAAGTGTTTTATTGATCAGAGTGGCCATTTTGTTTTTATAAAATAGGAGAGTGTTTGAAAAGATCGACATGTACGAACTTTAATTATTTTAGTTAAAAAAAACAACATTATTTTTTAAAGACATAAGCTGTAAGTGCCAAACGGTTGAGTCCACAACAATATTCATCAGTTATTCTTTCGCCTAATACTGATTAACTTATTCTTTGGACCCAATTCGGGTTTTGCGGTCAATAAAAATTATGTCAAATTGGGAAAAGCCAATTTTAGCAGTATTCAAGATATATCACAATGTATTGATGTTGAGAAGCGTCCCTTTCTTCCAGCGTGATGAGCTTTCAGCACGTGACAACCCCACCGCAGTGATCTCACGGAACAGCTCCATGTACCCTTCGTTGTAGAGTCTTTTAGGGTCGCGCCTACTTAGTCCCAGAAAGAAACGGTATGGTTAGTTTTAGAGAAATTATATACGTCTTAAATCCCAAAAATATTTTGCTGAAAATGCTCAGTCGAAACACTTCATATCACTGTATATTTTAATATGAGAAAAAAACCATGTACGACTTGTCCAAGGGTGATAGGTTTGTCAAATGGTGATGGCGTTCAAAAGCGTAATAAATAACACATTTTGTCTTCTTCTCGAATTGGATTTCCTGGCTTCCACGATCTGGGTGAACAAAACAGAGAAGTGTACAGTGACACCCAACCTACCAATCTTTGCCACAACTGACTTCTGAAAGTTACAACAGCAATCTACCTCGATATCTTTTTGACACATCCCTATGTTCAGCTTTCAATGATCCAGCTGATCAATTGTAACCATCATTAGTAATCGCAGCAGAAATCCGCAAATCTCTTGCCACTTTATCGTGTCCGCCATTTTGATATCCTGTATTTGATGTGAATGTATCACGACGTGCTGTCAATGTAACTGACAAACGATGGTAGTTCTTAACAGACATTTCCCATCTAATGATGTTTTCATTTGGATCTATTTGTTGCAACAAAACAAAGTACGATGTTAGTGAGAGCAGTTTGAGCATGTCTCTTTTCCTTTGAGGAACTATTTTATTCCACTAGAGAGCTGGTTGATGTACGGCTGTCAGTAAAAACATCAATAGAAAACGACAACAAGTCGCACGCAAGAAATTATATTGTTAAAACATTCTTCAAGGTGTAAAAGGTTAAAATAAAAAACCTACATAATAATTTACATTCACTTTGTGTGAGTCTATTGCAGTATGAACCATCATACTCCAGTGGGCTCGACAAAAGACGTAAGTCTGTTTGTAAATGTTTCTTAATTACACCTATAATGTATGTTATCCAGTTACATCAATCTTTATTCTGGTGAAAAACATCTTCCTTACGCTTCACATTTGTAAATGTCTTAAACTAACACAGTTCACGTTCATAACAGTTTTAATGATTTATTATTTCTTGTTATATGTTGGATAAAAAAGATGGACTTCTGGTTTTAGTTAATTGCTGGACATTCGATGTGTCATTTATTATGTGGCCATCCTTTTAGGTGGTTTCAGGTCCATCTGATTATGAATAAATCTGTTATTTTTATTTAAGATTAATTTTATTTATTTAAGTTTATTACACTATACATGGCGGTAGAGCGAACTGTATTTCTTTTTCTATAATGCCAAATTTAATACTTTCTAAGGATAATTACGATTAATCTAATCGTTCGTTAAGACGAACGTTACCAGAAAAAAACAAATGATAAACAGTTTGATAACGGTTTACGTTCGGATTAAATATCTTCTCTAAATTATTTTAATTACATCTGTGATTAACGTAAACCGTATGGGGAAATATGAACGTCGCATTTCTACTACCAACGTAAGTTTAGATCAGTACATCCAGATGAAACTGAGTAGTCAAGCGACATTCCACGATTGCATTGCGGGAATATAAACGTTGCGAACCTTACCGTGTCGCTGAAAACTTGTGAGTCGAATTGAGACATTTCAAACGTAACGTTTCGACCAGTGATCTTAGCTGCGTGAAGCAACTGCAAACCAAGAAACGGGATGCAACGGGGTAGTTTACTGTAGGAGGCTGTAGGAGGCGATGACAACTGACATGCATCTTGACGCGGGTTACAAAAGTGTTCGATTACGAGGGGGCAGACTAGAATGGCGCAGTGACGACAATACATTGTGATGCAATGCAAAATGTGCACATTATCGTCTGATAAAGTACTGTCGGCGCCTTTGATATAATATCCTCTATATCTAAGATGCTTCGGTGAAAGATCAAAGGTTCTTAGTTCGTCGTGTCATCTTCTGAATAATTGCGCAGATCGATGCTCATGCTGTTGATCACTGGATTGTCTGGTCCAGACTCGATTATTTACAGACCGCCGCCATATAACTGGAATATTGCTGAGTGCGGCGTAAAACTAAACTCACTCACTCAATGAACATTATGAAAATTCATAAACACATGCTCATGATGCACCGGATGCGTTCTATGGAACCGGATGCGTTCTGAAGAATGATTAAAATTATTTGAATTGATCACTGAAAACTGACATTCAGAGACACCAGGTGTTCGCGAAAAGGGTTTAGATCCAACCAATCAAACAATTTACAATATGAGTGAGTACGGTTTTACGCCACTTTCAGCAATATTTCAGGACTATCACGATGGGCTTCACACATTGTACCCATATGGGGAATCGAACCCGGGTCTTCAGCGTGACAAGCAGGCGTCTTAACCATTAGGCTACCCCACCGCTCTAATTTGCATAAGAAATTTCTGGCAAATATACAAAACTAAAGGCTATCAGAAGAAGAGTTCATAGTGATATGAAACCTGTATAGCTTGAATAAAACATTTCTCGGATTCCCTTGAGGAGAATGAAAACACGCACGTTGCAGTGAAAGAGTCAGTCAATTGCTGGCATGGAGGACACGATTGTTTATGTCGCGTCAGAGTTTCACTGTCGCCAAACACGGATGTCGACCTGTAAACCAATAACTATAACCTGTCATCAAACACGGGATTAATTTTTTGTTTACGGGGTCCAAGCTGTTTCGTAAAATATGGTCATTTATCAGCACAAATATTACATTACGACTACAATATAGCAACAGGGAAAAAGCACCAAGAAGCTTTAACCGAATAGTTGCTTGTCCATAACGCCGACAATTGAGAAGTACTTTATCACTGTACGTGTGTTTGTTCCCGGACTAATCACAGTTATGAACGATTGCAGGGTATTGTCTTGTTACTGAACGATTGCCGACGTTTGACATCGGGTGTAATCCTCCAACATATTGCTAGTGATGCAGTCCACTTTGTTACCATGACAACGCATATTAAAGGAAACCCGCTAATGTTCATTTTATATGTTTTGCCAAACGTACTGTTGCTGCGCGAGTCCGATGACAGTTGGTTATTCGTTGTGGTGATTTGCGATTGTTTTCAAAGAAACGATTCTAGCTGTCACACCTCGAATATATATGGACAATATCAAATCGTTCGCCATTGGATTGTAATGCAATAGGTTGGCGCTGAGATTTAAGACCTTAAGACCGTGGAAACGCTTAACCACACCTGTAAAAATGTCAGTTACATCTGAAACGTTCATCCATATAATATAAATAAAGAAAAACGGAACGGTACTGTTCAACCCATTGCGTACATGTGACAGGATTCCTATAACAAATCTTGAAAGGGTACAAATGTATGTATCTAAACAAATACCTTTTACAGTACAATTAACTGAAGGTAGTAATTATAACTGTCCAAGTTCATGTGCAATATGTCGTGTCATGATTATCAAATAGAACACGTATATATGGATGACAACTTCTTTAATTATAGACCACGACGTTTCGATACAGGTTCTTGTATCGTTTTGAAGTATTTCATTCACACTTGAAAACGATACAAGAACCTGTAGTGCAGGGGCTTATGTAGCAAAAATGCTTCCCGTGGGAAGTGCATGTTAATTTTTGGAACCACTGATAATTGTGATCAGTATTGCATATGGATTCAGAAAAAACATGGTTCCATTTTTTTCTGATGATTATAAGTGTCATTTTGAGGTAACTGACCATCGGTACCCATAATCGAGCTGCAACACCAATGTGAGAAAAACATATTTGTATGAACTATTACAACATAGGTATGTAGTATGTCAAAATGTACCTTGTTATAGGTGTTTTACAACTACCATTATATATCATGAAACTCAATAATATATGTATGCATAATAATCACTATGATCATAATTGCTTCTGCCAAAAC